ACTTAACAATTTTTGTGTAAAAGTGATGAAAATTAACCCAGACACGAATGACCCATCGTGTGTAATAAAGAACCGGAAGATCATCATGTGTACTAAAGATTAATATTGAGATATTTTAATAATTCATTAAAGAATAATACAATATAACGTATAAAAACAGTTGCAGTTTTACATAGGTCATTTTATATATCCATAAAAGATAATTACTTCTTGATTGCTACGATAAAGACATTATTATCAAACACATTTTTTATAAATTTTAAATAATTGAATACAGTCAAATCAAATTGAATATAATGCAATAATATATTGTATTAATTAATTGAATACAATTAATACAATAAATATATGAAAATTGTTGCAATTGCAGTAAATTTTTTTACATTAAGTTTTCTTAACTTTTAATAAACTTTATGCTTTTTTTCGATACATACAAATGATTTTATCGTGTCTTTAAACATTTTAATCGTACAAAATCCATTTTATATATATTCCATAATTATATTAAGACGCATATACACATTCAAGTAACATAAAACAATTTATATGTTTTCATTATGTATACTAAAACATGTAAAAGCAGATATGTTGAAATAAAGAGAAAATATTCAAGGTATATAAACATTTAATGATAATATCTAACAATATTAATGCGAAGTATTAATGCATTGACTGAGTGATACGAGATCATGATTACGGCCAGATGTATACATCATATACATCATAAAGTTAACGAGGAAGAAAGTGTTTATTCCGATCCGATCAATATACGTGCGTTTAAACTTGACACTCATCGTCACGATCTCAAATCTCCCTATGTGGCACGTGTTGCTGACGAAACCGGTGTTGTTATCGTAAACGTAACGCGGTCATGTAATCCTTACGTGAAACACGAATCCCTATCGATCAGATTGTTTTCACCTAAATAACGTAGTTATCGTAGGCTATCGGTGCACATAAATTACGAAAGAACTAGAATACTACAGATATACATTTACTATACAGATATTGATAAAAAGCATTTCAATCACTTTTCCTTTTCAATTTAACATTTGCAGCATTTCCAAAAATAGAAAGAAAAACAATTATTTTGTGTATTCAATTACGATGAACCTAATTTTTTTTTGCCTGAAGAGTAAGATGTCAATCTGGCACGTAATTATTACACGCGGACAATTGCGCGGTGATAAAGAACCATTAGGGATGAACGTTATAATAAATGCTAATAAAATCACAGAAAGCGATCAGCCAGCCGATAATTTAGGAACCTGATCCTCGCAGTGCATCACTCGGGTAATGATTAATGGCGCGCGCAATTGTTGCTGCGGCGCGCAATGCTAAATGCGTCGAATCGCAATTCGCTGATTAATCAAGGCACCGAGTTGCGCTATCAAACTGAGGAGTAGAAATTGTAATTTCCGCTTGACTTTGACACGAAACGCGCGCGCGGTTTGCGCTTTCAAGTATATCAAGTGCGCGATACCAGTGCTGTCCCAATTATAGGTGCGAATGGACACGTGCGGCGACGAAATCGATACTCATCCGTCTACATGAGGATCCGCGAAATGGGCCAAAGAAAATTAGCGGCAACAGAATGCAGCGATGCGTGCGATGAAGTTCCAAATATAACGCGGACGGCGAATATTGAGGAAGCGCGGGCGCGATCTCCATCATTTTGAGCGCTTTTAATTCGACAGTTCGACGTTACATTTCGCGTCGAATTGAATATCGCATATTCGAAAAAAAAAAATACTGAAACAATGAAATTCAGAACCGCACGAGTGCGGTTCTTCACAAAAAAAAGAATCAATAAAAATTGATCGATTGTTTTTTTTTAACACAGATATGCTTCGGAGATCGCTTTTTTTCTCCACCATTTGACGAGGTTTGTGCTCGATTTTCCATGCATTCGCGTTTTCCAAGAGTAATCTGACTTGAGTGTAATCTCGTATGAAATAAAAGTTCGGCAGACTGGATAGCTCCGAAGCAAAAAAGCGCGCTTCGATAAATCTCGACAGAACTTGTACGTCAACAAGTTCTGTGTGTGTGTGGAAAAGACTCGGAGTGTAATTTGTGAGGCGTACGAGCAGCATTACGATTATCTGAGACGTTAATCTCTGATTAATTCGAACAATTAGACGATTCTCATCTCTAATCGGTATCGGCGGTCGATTCCTCGAGATCTGGCCGACCACCTGTCGCGCGAATTACGACCCTTGGAAGATTAATACTCCAAGCGTGGCCGGCGTCGATATATGGCGCAGAATCGAGCTTCGCGACCGAGAAGCTGTCTCAGCTTTCACGCCCACGTACGGGATTGTCGACACAGTACGTAGGCGTCGTTCTAGCTCGCAAAATAAACGACAGTTTGCTTGACCATAAAACTGCTGTTGCTGTTATTGCTCTGTATCCCAGAGGTGAATCTAGTAAAGTTTTCCATTTTCGCAGGGAGAAAAGAAAAAGCAAACAATAAATTCCTTGAAACTCTTTCTGCTATTTAAATAAAAGTGATTTATCGACAGTTTATTTATACGAGCAAATTAAGAGAGTCAAAAGTTAAGCAAGAAAATTATTTGAGATAAATTTCCTACGATTAGATATTCTTTTTATGAATTAATCTCATTAGAAAAAGGCAAACTGTTAATAATTTTTAATCGTCTTTCGCGAAATTTGCTTCATTCATCCATGACTCGGGAAATCTGTTACTTGTCTTTTCGTCAGGGAACTTCCCCGATTAAAAAAGGCAAAAGAAAAATGAGAACGATTAAGGGATGTTCCGGAGGCGGATCTGGTAAAAAGAGGGGTAGCATGATACATCGATCGGTGACACTTTTATGGCGCCGTGAGCCGAGGAATGTGGTTTCTCCTGATAGATAACACTCCATAAATATTAAATAAACGTCAGTCATCGCGCGCGCGTGAAGTGAGATTTGACGGCCTAGATAAAGATCGATATTTTTCACTTGCCGACGATAGCAGTTTATTCTATTTACCGGCTGCCACTTTTATTAGGGAGCTGTTCATGGCGGGCGTTGAGATCTACAGCATGCACTACAGCTTGTTAGAGGGTTGATGGAAAGGGATAAATAGTGAGCTGGATATGTCATCAAAATGAACGATCTGTCACGCAAATGGTTGCGACATCAACCAATTAATAATATTTTTATAACGTGTCACAATGTGTTAGAAATATATGGGAGAATATGTTAAATACAATCTTGACCGTAAGTAAAAAGCACTATTAATTTATTGCATTTTCTTGAGAAAGAGGTGGACTAACAAAAAAAAGACCAAAGGAGGATTAACAAAATATTAAAATTGTTATAAAAATAATATTTTTCAACAAAACGATGTTTTTTAATTCATTTTTTTATTAGATATAGAAGGTTTACGTGAATTTTGTGAGAGTGCTTTATATTTATGGACAAAGCTATCTAATATATGTATGTATTTCTATATATTACACATATATTTGTATACATATTTAATATTATCTGTAAATAGTATTAAATATATATGCATATATAATAGTAGAAAATATTTGTAAACAACGACTTGTAATCAAGAGGATCTCAATATTTTTGGAATGGCTGAATTCTTCGAGCGTCAATCATTTTACTTGCAAGATTAATTATTTTGAAATCTGCAATTCTCGCGTCACATACACACATCTCACGATTTTTCGTGGATATTCAATATCTTCCAACGTGACTTCCACTCCGACGAACTCGGAAACGCGCGGTTTCCGACGCTACTCCGGTACAGTGGAAACTCGAATCGTGCAGAGAGATCGGCGGATCAAAAGTTTTGCGTTTCACGAAAGAAGGAAGTGAGTTACGCGCCGCAGACCTTCGCGGAACTTCGCGCTTACCGGATTAAACGTCGAGTTCAGAAACGCTGAAAACTCGATGTGCATAACGTCGACTTTGGAAGTCTGATGGCGCGCGCGTGAAACGACCAACCGGACGAGGTTTAGCTGAAAGAGTTGGTCGGCAGCGAGACGATCGACGCTTTACGCTTCGACTCATATCGGAATTGAATATTCGACAATTCCAAGTTCGCGCCAACTTGCTAAACATTGCAAAATTTTCAAGAGAGGGAGAAAATCGAGAATGTTCAACTTGTTGTATTCTCAGTTTCTTTGTATAAGCGCGCGCGCGCGTTTCTGACGGGAAACGCGTTTGGCATTTTGCATTAAAAACCCCAACGACTGCAGATCAATCAGAAATCATTCGTGTCATTTCACGGAGGCCGCTTTTCATTATTTCGCGTCGACACGAAGGCACGAATCGCACGTGGGCCGCGCGCGTAGGCGAGTTTACGTACATGCGCGGGCCAATCGGCCCGATGAACGCGCGATTACGTCGTGTCACACCTCGCATGCGCGCTTTTGAACAAAGAAAAATTCTCGCGACGCGAGATTCATTATTGATGCGGCGCATCAAAATTCGTTACCGTCGGCGACGAATTCGGCGAGGAATTAAATCGGGAATTAGGTCGCGGCCGATTCGGCATGCGTTCGCGTGCGCGAAACCGCAAATTGGCAGGCGATAGCAACCGCGGCGGCGAATTTCAAGAGTCTCTCTTGCATCGAGATCTATCCTGGTAACGTGCGAGTAAGCGAGCTTAATCAGACAGGATGATGCGAAATGCAGAGACGGCGGCGCGGAGAGACGCGCCGTGAGAAATTAACGAGAAATTAACATGCGTACGTTATCCCCCGCGGGACACGTCGGCGTCTATACCGCGTACGTGATCACTGCACGCTATTAGTAACGTGTCATCGCGGATCCCACACGTCGTTCGTCATTTCGCGATCGAAGAACGGCGAGCAAAGGACGGCTTCCGCGTCGAGAAAGAAAGCCAACCGCTCGCGCGGAGGTTGCGTCGCTAAAATTACATTTACCCCGCCGGGACAAAGGACGCGCCGGCGACTGTCGTGACGCCTCTTTTTCCCCGCGACAATTTAATTGAAAGCCTCACACGTGCCATTTTGCGCGCGTTGAGCGCGCGTGTTTTTATACAGATGCAGCCTCGCGCTCTCGTCCCCCGACAGGGACGAGAGGGCGTCCTTTAGCATGTAATAAATATAACGTCAGGTATATTAATATTGCGTCAGCTGCGACGCCTTGCGGCACGATGAGTTCTGCAGATCCCTCCAGATAATTTGTCTATCAGTAAAAGAATTTTTTTTTATTAAATTTTCATTTCAATAATTTTTAATTTCGACCCTTTATTACACGTATCTTTTGACAGCTTCACGTCGGAACTTCTAAACAAACTGAAATGAATTAAACGAAATCTCGAATCTATAATGTCTTTGTATTATACGCAAATATTTGCCGATAGAATTTCAATAGGTACTGTAAAAATATTAGACTACGGATACATGCGCATTTAACCGTATCCATTTTCTATTTTCATCTCGAAACCTGATTTTGAGGGAAAATCGTATTAGAGGTGACATATATATGTATATAAAATTCAATATGTATCTATAAGCTTCATAAGCTAAATTCAATATGTATCTATATGTGTCTCAGCTTCGCATATTTTATTGCGGATTATTGCGGAAATAATAATTATGAGAATTTTTATAGTGCGCTTTTTTTTTTTAAATCGATACGTTAAAAGAATGCTTCGTTAAAAGCGGATTTGCAATAGCATTTTTAAGCACCACGTCGCGCGCCAATATGCGCCGTGACGTAGAATACAAACTTTAATATCGATTTCAGGAAAGCTCGCTAATAAGCGGTGCACGCCGTGGGGCTGTAACATTCGTATTGGGGGCTTAAATTTAATCCCAAGGATGCGGCGGGGCCGATAGGCCGTCCCCGGCTGCGACTCGCGTATGCAGAGCACGTATAATGGAATACCCGACGGGGTTTCGATCGGGGCAGCCAATTACCAAGCGCAATCGAACGGGCGCGCGCGGCACGGTGGCCCGGCAACCCAGTAAACTTAACCGCAGGATTTAAACGAGCGCGGCCGCGGGCGCGTACTGCATTTAAGGCGAATCCATTCGCGAATATCCCGACGCGAGGCCCATCCGCCTCGAAATTGCCTCCGTCCGTTTCGCTCGGATGCGACGAGCGGTCGTCCCGCCACGGGCGACATTTTCATCTTCTCGCTTTGTGAGGATTTATCTCCGCGGATGAGTCGCGTACTCGGGAAAACAAGTGCATGCGGGGATAGAATTAGTACACTCTATTTACTTGGTACTCACCTGTTCGCCGTGTTGTGCGCCAGGAAGGACTTGGGCAGCGACAAGGATCGCTGGTGAGGATCCAGGACGATGTCGCCCGTGAGCGAGTCTTCGCCGCGGGTGGGCGCGCTACCGGGCCTGGACAGCGTGCCGTCCTTCGGCGGCTCTATCAACGTCTTGAGGGAACCAATCACGGCGTCCTCCAACGGCGTGGACGCGCCGGAGCTCTTCGCGTTCCGCGGGCTCTTCGTCACCGTGCGGTCCGACGTGGTAATCCAGATGTCGCTGCTCGAGGACGACGAGGTGGTCGTTGACGAGGAGATGACCTGGCCGCTGCTCGGCGATCTGCTGACGACGTTCATCCCTTGGATGGGCGACACCCTCCTGTCCTTGCTGTCAGCGCCTTCGAAGGAACCCGGGAAATCGGGTTTCCGGTACACTCGGTGGTGCATCTGATCTCTCTTCTCCACTCCTACGTTATTTATAGAAAACGTTAATGTAGATGCAATATAAATTATTTCGCTTATTAAAAATTAAAAGCTAGTACTCTTAAAAAAATAAATAAGACGTAATGTCAATTTAAAATAAAAATTTGCTTCTACGTTTTTGTAAGAATTTAATTCAGTCGGATGAATTTTTTGATAATCGAGCTCATAAGTACCGTTCCCGTTGGTTCCCTCCAACGGCGACCATCTGTTGGCCTGCTTGAGCATGTTCTTGGGTCTCTCCTGATACTTGCTCTGCTGACTGCTCCTGCCCTTCCTCGAGTTGTCTCTCTCGCGAAGCTCCCGCTCGTCCATCCGCTCGAGGGAGGCCGGCGAGGAGCTGGCGCTTCCGCGGTGGCTACCGGCGTCGGTGGAGAGCCTCTGATGCGCCGGATAGCTCTGCGACAGCTTCATGAAGACCGGCGCGGGCGTCTGATTCGGCGAGTACAGGGTTTCCCTCTGTGAGCAATGGGGCCAGAAGTCGCACGTGCTGCTGTTGCAACGCAGTTTCGTATCCGGGCTGAAGTCCTGATTGGCAGACGGCGCGTTTGCATTTGGTGTCGTGGCACCTCTCTGCAGCGTCCGCGGCCGCCTTGATTGCTGCTGCTGTTGTTGCTGCTGCTGCTGCTGCTGCTGCTGCTGCGACTGCTGCGTCTGCTGCTGTTGAGTCTGCGAGGAATTCGACGCTTTCGAAGATTGCTGCTGTTGCTGCTTGGAGGATATGATGTAGACGTCGTACATGTTGTTGCCCCGTCTCTGCTCTTGGCTCTCGTCGCGACGTTCATAGCGGCTTGACACCATGTTTCTCGGCACGACGCGACTACGCGTGCCATACAGGTATTCAGTCACCATCTCCGGTTCGCGGTAAAGATTTTCATTTATGGTATCGTCGGTGGATTGAGTCTTTCCTAGAGAATTTGGGAAAAAAAACGATCGAATACGGGAGTGAAAGTGATTTGATTGAGAGATTGATCACTGACGTGACGATGATCAATTGTATTTCCTTTAAAAACTTTTTTTTTCCTTCAGCTTTTTAGATTGCCAAAGTTTAAACGAATAGTAAGTAGATATATTTGATCTTTAATCGTTAATCTTTTTAAGCAACTTTTTATATTCCACAAAATTTTCTATTCTCTTTACATCCTTTATGTTTTGTAAAACTATTCATTGATTTTTTTTTCTGTGAGAAAATGAATAGACGTGAACATATTTAAAATAAATTTTGCGAGCGCAAGAATTATTTATCGTAAGGATATGAGGACTTCCCAAGTATATGATCACTTCATAAGTCTTTCATAAGAATACGAAGTTTATGAAAGGTATACGCTTGCAAACATCCATTTTTCGTATCATAAAACATTCGGTACACGTGTGCAACAGCGAAAGTTCGAACGTAAGATATCCGAGGGAAGGTATACTCACTGTTCTGAAGAACTTGGCGCTTGGATCTGTCGTTCCCCCGATCATTCACAATCTTCACAACGACCCTGTGCGTCTCATTCGACTCTCGGGAGTGATCTCTCTGCGGGCCCGTGGTTCCCGGCGACCTTTTCTCCGGCAATTGGAGACTCCTGGATCGTCTGACTCGGGATTGATGAGAATCGGGCGACACTTGATTGGTCCTGGCGCTCTGGTGCTGTCGCGTGGGATTGCCGCGTCTGAATGGATTAGGCGTGGGTGACCGTCCTTGTCGTCCCTCGCTGCTGGACGAAGAAGACGATGAGGAGGGTGAATTGAACATCTGTTTGCCGGACTCGGAGGATCCGGGAGATCTTCTGAGCCCCTGTTGGCTTCTATGGATTCTCCTATATAGATATAATACTTATTAGGCGGTTCACTTTCACATAGCATATTGCGAAACATTTATAAAATAAATTTATTCTTTTAATATATATTTATATATTTTATTTACATATATATGATGTTTTAATTAAACAAAATTAAAGGATACAAGAATAATTGCCTAAATCTTTCTAAATTTTTGCTATCTCCGACGTTGAACTTCTACTTTTATGAGAATTTTGTAAATTTTCTTATGCATACCCTTGCCTGGGCGATATTCGTTCGCCGTTGGCACGAATCGATTCTGTGGACGAATTCAACGCAAGAGCTGATGACGACACCAGACTGAGATTTAAGGATGAACTAGGGTTATCATCCTCGTCGCCATCTTCATATCTAATATCGAAAGTATGTTGATTCGATTTTATATTAAAACTATTTATATATACTACGAACATCCGACTCGGCTCTTCGCTCATTTAATACATGTTATAATCTATTTCTGTGAGCCTTTAATTAAAGAATTTCGTTTTTAGTATCAAAAGATCGATATCTTGAATTTTTAAGTTTCTATTAATTTTATTAACGTTAACATTTCATGTTACAGTAATTTACACATTATTATATTATCTATAATTTATATAGAAATTACAAATTAATAGAATATAATATCGCGATTAATGAAATTAATGAAACCAATGTTTACGTTTGTTTAATTCTATCAATTCTACTCTCTCGAACAATTGCAATCAAAACTAAACCCGGCCATTTTTAATCTTTAAAAAATCAAGTTCGCCGACAGAGTCGTTCATTGCAATCAGAAATGTATTTTATACGTACCCCTCCACCGAAGAATCCGTATTCTCCGCCAAACTAGGCATAATGGATTTTGTGACGCAACTGTCGAGGCTTCTGAATCCCATTGACGACGACGACGAGCTGGAGGATTCGAGATATCTCTGCGCGAACTGCGATCTTCGGGAGGATGACTGGTCCTCCAGGGACTTGGCCTGCGCCATGCGGTACTGCTGCTGTTGCTGTTGCTGCTGGCTGGCATTCTGTTTCTTCGACCTGGAAGACGGTAGACTGGAATTCTTCCTAGACGCGGACGGCAGGGAGCTCCAGTTGACCTGGTGAGGTGGCGGCGACGGTGGCGGACTGATGATGTCGCTATCGACGATGGCGTTCGAACGCGGTAAGAAAGGGGCCTTGCTGCCGTAGTTGTTGCGCACAGCGGCGGAAGACGAATGTCTGGAGGAGGAGGATTTCCTGCCGGTGACGGCGTCTTGGAATGCCGGCGGCGGCGATATGATCGGCGTGATCGACGGCGGGGAGAAGGACTCCGGGATGCTGTGCGGCGACGTGCAGGCGCTGTTGGTGATGGAGTCGTAGTCCTGGCTGTGCAGAGCGAGAAAGTCGGGCCGCTGCGAGTCCAGTCCTCTGGTGAAGTCCTGCGGACACTTGCCCGGCTCGCTGTTGCAATGATAGTCCGCCAGCTTGACCGCCGTCCGTCGCGATATCGGCAGAGTGCCGGTGGTCGCGGTTACCAGGTTGCTCTCGTAGTTGGCACGGCGATTTTCGTCGAGCGACCGCTGCTGCACCTGCACCCAGCCGGAGCGGCCCAGGTAAACGCCGTCGAACTCGCGGTCGCACCATCGTACAGGCGAGAGCTCGCGGCTGCAATTGCCGCTGATGAACAGCTCGCCGGAGGTGCCGCTGTTGCCCGACAGGAAAGAGTTTACGGCATCGCGTCGACGAGAACCGGTGGAAACCTGCACAGAGGAGAATCCTCGTCGAATAGACACCCTAAGTGTCATCCCAGTCTCCTCGCGTCACGTTTCATTACGTTGATTTGAATAACGTAATTCTATAAAACCGTCTAATAAAACTGTGATAAGTTTCGGCAATGCAACAATTACGGTAAGCTAAATTTAACTCCGGACACAAAAAAATGACCTTAAGTTACAAGGCTGGAATGTACTCTCATTACATACACATTATGTTCCATTAGTTTTCTCCATAATTTAGAACAAAGTTGATTATGGAATGAATCATATAAAGCCGTTTTCGTAAATATTAATTAACGCAAAATTAGTCTGACATGATTTAAATGATTCTCTTATTAAAGCGGCGCCCGGTAGGAACTCGTTTAATTTAAATTAACATTTACTGCGGCGATTCGTATAGGATCGTCCTCTCGTGAACTCCCGTATGAATTCGATTCCTAGTTCCGATCTCGCGGATGAACTGGCGGAGACTGGCAGAACGTATATCTGACGTCTTTGCCATCTCCCACCTACCTGGCCGTGGCCGTCTTGGCGATGCTGCTTGAGGCTTGACGTCGACGTGGTCGACGTGGATGTATCGTGACGTTTCAGGGATGGTATCGAACTACCGCGGCTGTAGGATCCACGCGCGTTCCCGCTGGATTTCCCTCTGCCGCTCGCTGTCTGACTCTTGTTGCTGCCGACGCTGTACGAGGAGCCTTGAGAGCCGACCTCCCAGGGGTCCGCTGACGCGTTACGGAGATGGAGGATCGACACGTTCGGGCCTCTGCAACCGAAATTTCCCTCCGTTCGAGATCGACTCGAGATGCCAGGAATAATCACTCTTTCCAACGCCGTACATATAAATGTTTACTCTTTAAATAAAGTTTGATGTTCATGATTTGATTAACATCGACAGCGATGGGACGGAGCTTATCGCATATAATATTGGGATTTTACTTTTTTTTTTTGACTTAACAATAAACAATATATTATACGTTTATAATATATGCATATATATAATATATTATATGAAATGGGGTCATCCGGAAAGTTCTGCGGTCTTCACAAGGACAGATTTAAGCGGTCATGTACAGTACTTTTTACAACTTTTAATTTCTCTGCCAGTTCTTGTATTGCATAACGAATGCGTTCTTGCCCTTTCTAAAGTGGAAAAGCATAATATATTTCAAAAAAGTTGTTTTTGATTCTCTATTTTTAAGGCACTATAGAATCGAATATACTGAACATATGCCATTCTAGATGGATGCATTGTTTAAACAAGAGACTGCTCTTTCTTATCAACTCGAAGTTTGGGTTTTTTCATTCAGTATAAGTGCAAAATTCAATCTGGTATCCAGATGTGAGAAAACCGCAGAACTTTCCGTATGATTCAATATATTATACATACATACATATATAACAAATAAAAAATATGTAAGTATATATAAAATAAAACAACAATATTTGGGGAATAGAATTTGTTTGGCCTTTTTCATCTTATTCAATAAAGGAAAGAAATCGTAGTTTTTTTTTCGTACAATATGTTACCGTAACTCGTCATACATCATACAGTTTATTTAACTGATTCTATCCGATTTTCGTACCCGATCGAATATATAACATATTTTATGAAACTACACAATCTTTCCTCTTCGCGATTCGTGCTTCACTACCGCGAGATCGCGCAGGTTGAAAGTATACAATAAAATCGTCTTCCATTTCACGATTGTGTAAATTCACGCCCGTTTGTTCATACTTTTTTGATTTGCTATCATCGAATCTAGTATTTCGCTTTACCCCTCGTCGCAAAAGGAAATCGACTCGCGATGCACTTTAGCATCTCCAGGGATTTTACGCGACAGTCGGCACGGTCGGAAGCCTCCCGCTTCCGTCGACGTCTTCAAGTAAGATAAATGCGGTCGTTCTTGCCGGTATACGTCCCCACGCATCCACTTTTTCCCCACGCGCGGCATTTTTACTCGCGTCGTCTCTTTCCCATATTCGATATTTATATCATGCCTGATATTGCAGCGATAAATATTTATATAGTGATACGGTAGAAAAAGAAGCGATAGAGAGGGAAAGGAGGAGGATAAGCGACAAAGGTGCATCCAGGTTGCATCGCGTGCACTTGCATGCCGGCTGAAAACTCGCGTGGTGGATGTATGAAAATCAGATATCCGGACAGTCTCCTGCTCGAGAGACAGACGCAAATCTCTCCGCGAACAAATGTACCCCCGCGGCTACGCCTCTTATCTTCGTGCTCCTCGTTTCAGATCCTCGTTCTCCGCTGCTTCTCGTCGTACGGAGAAAATTCTTACGGATAATTACGAAAATGTTACATCGCGTAGCAACATGTGCGACAAGATACGGAATTTTTTCCACGCGAGTTGAATTAATAAGAAAGACGCGTGGGCGCGAGCGTCGGATCTCGCTCTGCATATATGAATTTCTCCGCGAGGCGGATTGAACGTTGTAAAACCGAGAGAGCAGGTATGCGATCGATATTTTCGCCACGCGGTCTGGATGAAGTTCAAAGTCGCTCATCGGGGATTCAATCGTCTTTGCCGTCTGTCGTGATTAACGCGCGATCAAAGAGATCACCGGTGATGAAAAAGACGTTCGCGAAAATGAAATTCTCCGGAGGGATTCTCTTTCGAGTCTCAAAGTCCCGACTGCCACTGTATTAGACGCAATTTTGATCCACCGGGTAAAATGCGAAATTAGCGTGAGAGCACCTTAAGGGCTTCTAGTCTAAAGAGTTATCGTGATTTTACGAGCTCTCTCTCTCTCTCTCTCTCTCTCTCTCTCTCTCTCTTTCTTGGACTCGATTTGACGGAGCGCGCTGAAAAGTATTATCGACGGAAAGTACAGGATTCATTGAATTTATATGAGCAGCCCGACGTACGGCGTGATTCGTGTGGAACTATTAATTAATTCGGGCTAAAGACGGGAACGTGTACGGTGAAACTAGGTGACAAAGCGTATTTCGGATTACTTTGCTGCGAATAACCTTTCGTCGATATCGCGCCACATATATGGAAGCTGACGAAACGCGCGGCGAACAAATCGACTGGGACGGGAATATCTGTCCTCGATTAATCATATTTACCTCTTAACCGACATGACACGTAGAGTCACGTTCGCTTCCTTTGATAGTGCGACGTCTTAAATAGAAGCGCTCTCTCTTTAAATAGAGAGCGATCTCCCTTGTTCGAACAAAAAGGAGAGAGCGAGATGGAGTGGGACCACCCTCTCTTTTAATCCACTGCCACACACGTTTGCGTCCAGTACATACCGCATTGAACGCTGCGGAACATTTCTCATCTATCATACGTTTATCCGTCGCACCTTTTATATCGGTTTAAAATCGACTCGCACTCGAGTGCGGCGATTGCTCCCGCTAGATTTATTTTCGAGCAACGATAAAAATGTCTCGCATGAAAAAGACAAATTCTTTTTTATATCGCGCACGAGATTTGATATTTTTAACATGTTTATCGTTCCTGAGAGAAAAAAAAACTCTCCAGTTGCCTCTGCGGGATTAATGGACAGGCAATCGGCCTTGAGAATCGACCGACATTATTCTAGCATTCGGCGTTTGACCGATGAATTTTACATTCCCTCGTGTAAGCAGGTCACGCTCGACGGCGAGTATCCGAGTGCACGAAGAAGTAGCGCGAGAGTGGTCCTCGCGGTGGTGGTCCTCCGTTGGGCATCATGAAACTTACATCGTATGTAAACACTGGCATCTAGAGGGAATCTAGACGGAAGCGACAAGCACACACGGACAAGGATAACGATCGAGCGAATGTTTTCGTCGTTCCTATACGACGCGTCACGCTAACTTCGCGAGATTCCGTATCGGATGTCTTCTTCAACGACGGCAGGTGGACGGCGCGGTTGCATTGTTTCACCATACACGTACAACGATTCCTGCTCCGCGCACGACAGCAACCGTGCATCCACAGAATCTTTTCAATTCACGCAATCGATCTCTTTCTAAATTTTTCAAATCTGTCTTTGCCATTTCAAAAACTGCCGAGCTGATAGCTCCCGCGCAGCATCACTGGTTGCGGAGTCCACGCGACAGTTATATAGGCCGGGATTACTCCCTGCGATGGCGGCGAATTTAAACAGCGAAAAGTGAATAGAAGCGTGCGATGTTACCTGTCGACGCGCGAGATAGGACCCGCGTTAGCGATCTCGCTTGTATCCGCGGCCGGACTGACTCTGCGCGGCGGCAGGGCGGGAGGCGCGGACTGGCCGGGGACCTGACTCGAGGACAAGGTCGAAACGGGCCCTCCGACGCCCACGTTGCCCCCACGTACCCCATCCTCGGCCGAGTGCTGTCTCGTGGATTGCGAGTTCTGCGAGAGCCAGCGGCGCCCGGCATTCCGCGTCACCACCGCGGGCCCGCCGGGCCCCGGCTGATGACCTATCGCGCTCCCACCATCCAGCGACGTGCTCTGTAACCGAAATCCAAGGCCATTCTTCGTGTGGGCAGAGAGAAAATCTGTACAGGACGCGACTGAATTCGAGGCCTACGCACTACACACACAGAATCTCAGGCAAAAATTCCAATTGATTCTTGGGATTTTTTTTGTTCAAACATTCGCGTTTCTTACGATTTAGCCAAGCAGACTTGAATTTTTATTTTACAATCTTATTCTACGACATCTCTGGCACTGCGTCCTGAGAAGAAATTAAATTTATTTTTAACATGTATTTAGAATTATATATGTACAAATATCCGCCTGGATTCGGGAATGCTTATGTGTAGTCCTAGAATTTAATTATAACGATAAGATTTAATTATTTCCGATACGCAAGGATCAAATAATTATTAACGTTCCTATATGATTTTATAATGTGTTTTTGAAACACACGTATCATGGCGTCAACAGAGTTTCCTCTTCGTCAACCGTTTTTGGTTACCTTTATTAACCACGACTCGTTAATGGGGCACCATTATCGCCTAGTCATCATTATGAAATTGTGTCAATCGCCAAAGGGGCCCGTGCTGTAGGGCGCCATTATCGTTACGTCGATCACGGGCTAAACTTGCGTGGCCATAAGAGCACGAGGAGCCGTGCGGCCGTCTCTACTTCCAAATACGGTCGAAGCACGTACGAACGACCGGCGAGTTGGCGCAACTCCGCCGCCGTGCGTCGAAGAAAGTATTTTTATTCTCGTCCTGCCCGAGAGAGGAGAACTCGTCCGTACAGGCGATCTGTCGCGATGACTTGGACCACGAACGTGCGTGTCGTTTTATTGACTTTTATTACTCCACACGACTCAATATCTCATTGACGTGCCGCCCGATTTTAGAAACGTCCGTCAATTTGTTTACAATATCGCAATCTGTCAATTTATTTGTCGCAAATCGATCGAAACACGTTCGGGAAACACATTTTAGACATGACGAATGATTTCACAAAATATAGAGATTAAAAAAAAAAAGATTTCGGTTATATATATTTCAGTCGTAACACGAGATTATATAACGGGCAAAGAGCGACAATGCGTTGGAACAATAAACCGATTGTTTAAATTTGTACAATTCTGTCTTGAGATTATACATACATTTACGTGATTTTTTCTGGACGTAACGGACGAGTCCTGCGAGGACCCTCTTGCGTAATGCCGAGCGAAGACCTCGGCGAGTCTGGATCTTCCCGTCGCATTCGACTTGGATTTACTTGGCGGCGAGCCATCGGCGACGCCCGCCAAATTCGGATTGCTGCTCTTGCGCTCCGGAAACACTAAGTGCTCGATGTTCGGCGTGTATCCAGGATCGTTCCTGACGATATCCTGGAGCGTCACGCGGCTGGGTCCGCCGTTACTGCAACAATAAGGGTAATGCGTCAAATTACAATTGTCAACAAGTGATGCAGTGACTACACTGAGAAAAAAATTTTTGGTATTTGTAACTAAAGTTACGTAGTACCATAATTATGATTATTACTGCTATAATGTTAGTAATAATAATTATATGTATAATTTCATCAGCAAATATATAAGTTGGTATCAACAAATATTATACATAACACTGAAACTTATTATGCATTATAGTTATTATTACCATAAAAATGGTTGCAATTATCATTATTTAACTATAATTTATAGTCGTTTTTAGGGCCAACTATATTAGTATAGTAGATCCTAAAAATAAATTGCCATTTTTATGGTATAATATTATAACTACAATGTAGTGTTTCAGTGCTATATATAAATTTGTTGATATCAATTATATATACAATTTATCGATAATACTGTACATATGTTGTAAAACATATAAATTATTATTTCTAACATTATAGCAGTAATAATCATAATTATGGTACTGTGTACAATAATTACAAATATCAAAAATTTTTCTCTCAGTGCATATGTATATAGATGACTACAGATGACTCGAAAGATATGGTAAAGAAATTATATTCTAGAGAAAGTTCAAGCGAGCGTCTTAAGCGTTATTTATTTACTTATAATAAATTCTTGATACGAGTTTGTAAATTTTTAAACTAACCTGGGCCCGAAACCGTGCGACTGTCTCTGTCCGCGTCTCTTCCCGCTGCCACGGCCAGGCTTGATGTTCGTCGCCTCGGCCAATTGCAGCAAACGGCTGCGATGCTGCCGTAACAGCGGGTCCTCCCGACGATTCATTCTATCCTGTGCACCTGGAATCTTGTCGCTCCTGCATCCTGGAATCACCCAAGAAAAGGAGATAATTAATTCACTGAAGGTTTACTCGTGTCTATTCTTTGACACCTTCGCACACACCGCAATCATACTTTTCACAACAATTGCTTTACAATCGTGGAGACAGAGAAAAAAATATTTCCTAGAATGGCGTCAGAGAGGATTCTTTAAAAATTAACGTTAAAAGAATTTATAGAAAATGTAAAAAGGATTAACGCATCTGATCGCAAAATTCTCATCAACACGTGTAGAAAAAGCATAATGTTTGCAAAATATTAATTTAAAATTGTATAATAATATTCACAGCAACAAACAGTTTAATGCAGTACGTCTTGTTTACAGTGCATTACAAGGCTTGCAAAAGCGAGAGCTCGTCTTTTAATCATTCTTTCCGCAAGGATCGAGAAGAGGAATTTACCACGAGCATACACTGCAGCTTGTGCTGCTTCTCGCGACTCGTCTTCTCTCTTTTATCTTACTTTGACGCGAGAAGAGAAGGCAGATATATAAAACAGAGAGGAGAAAAATGCTGTTGTCCTCCACCGTCTGTCCGCCGCGTCGGTTGAGCATCTTTAAGAACGTTCTTTCTTCTCTTCTCTCGAAAACTTGGCGATCCCTTATCGATCGCGAATGTAAAATGTCATAAATTCTGTGTCTCCGGAGAAAATTATAGTTTTTCTTTTCGCAAGCAAAATATTTTCAACGTCTGATTCCGTCGTTCGAATAAGGCACATAGCTAATAGTATCTTGCATATACCTATTTACATATCTTTGATATTAAAAAATATTCGATATTTTTGTGGAAAATTTTTTAATTGAGATTCGAGAAAAACGTCGTTCCAAAAAAAGAGCGTCAAAGACGTCTATCGCAACTCTAAGATGTTCTCTTTTTTTAAATCGTGTACTTTTGCCTTCTCACGTTTTAGTGTAACTTGTAAATAACTTCTTCAGAAATTTTAATTGAGGATCGAGAAAAGCGGGAGTTTCTAAAAAAAACAAGATATATATTGCAATGCTAAGATGTCATTAAAATTGTATGCCGCTGACTTTTAAATAGGTACTACGTAGGTGTAACTTGCAAGTTACTTCTTCAGAATTTCCTCCATAAAGATGCTGCGTATAATTGATCGCGCACGATTATTCTTAATATAATCTCCGCGCATCCCGGCAAATTTTTATGATAAATGATATCCCCGTCAGCGCGTGAACGCGGTGAATAGTCGAAGACAAACTGAATATTCTTCCCCACTTCTGCTTTTTTTTTTTCAATAATGTCGCGCCTGGCGGCGGGCTCTGTAACAGAGAGCACTGAAATATCGACTATCGAAGAAAGTTCGGCGGTCATGAATAGTTAGCCGCAAACGCACACAATATGCACACCGGGGAATTTAATATTGGCCAAAATTAACCGACGAAGCGAATACTTTGAACGTTTGTTCTTCGTGTTTGAATTTTCGTCGAATCGTTTGGCGTTTCCCGACATGCACAGAGGAGAGAAACGAATGTACATACATTAGATCTCTCTGAAAATAATATCACAATGAAAACATATACCGAATCGTTCCGGGAATCGTTTCGGATTTTCTTTCAATCTTCTTCGGAAATTCTTTCAAATGTCGAGGACACAACCAGGAGAAGCCAAGATTGCCAAGAATCACGCGATCTTGAATTGCATCTTAAGACTCATCAATCTTTACTCGCGTCTTACGGTCGACAATTTTTTTTTCTCCCCCGTCCCTAACCGCTCGAATCAAGTTCGCCGACGCTTGATGCCGGACACGCCTTAAATGACGATTTTACTTCTCCCCCATTACAAATCGTTTTCCGATTCTATTAAGAGCCGCCGCTCTCTTTTGCAAGCACCGGATACGTTGACGCGTAATCTGTATTTCACTTCAGTCGGGCTCAATGAAAACCTCGTTTTCTCCGCGGCGGCGAGGAATTTTTCTCGCAGGCGCGCGGGGCGCATCGGCGACAACTCCATTTACTGAAATTCAACAACGATTCTTCCTGTGCTCGGGATTCCGTCGCGCGCCGTTGCCGTGAAATGCCAAGAATCGAGGATTTTAAAAGTCGATGAACCGCCCGTTGAGGAGACCCGGCGGTATGTAACGTTTTTAGATCAACCGAGCGTGAATTTCCGGAAGGCCACTGTTTTCTGTTTTTCCGCTTGATTTATACGGGGTCACGTCAAACGCGATATTTTTCTTTATAATTTCGCTATAGAGCAATATACACGCACGTGCCGGGCATATCACCAAGACGGGGAATCTTCGAAAACATAATTTTCAAAGATTGGCTAGCGCGTCGTTAGTTCCATTCTGCGGGAATCCGCTTCGAGGAATCGCGGTGGCTCGGAATGTAATTTGTAGCCCATAAAAGTATCGTTCGTTTCGAATTATCGTCGTTGCAGGGGGCAAGGAAAAAAAGCACAGCGCAGAAAAGCACGGGAGCGACGCCAAATCGGAGAGCAAATCGCGCGCGGGCGCATGCGATTACTCGTCGTCGGGGGATGATCGGATTTGCGTGCATTTGGACAGCGAATTTCGAGAGGTGCAGCGCACGTAACCCGCTCCATAAATTGCGAGTTCTGATTGGGATTTACGAGGGCGCAAGCACGCGCGCAGACCGTTGCAGGCCCTCTTTAAAACGAGAACCACGAAGTGCACCGCGTGAGTTCTCCAATCGAAATTTATGGCTGCGTATCTCGCGAAAGAAAATAAGAAAAATGAGGGGGGCAAATCTCGCTGGCGGAAGGGAATTTCTACCGCGAGCTCGTACGCTTTCTGACAACGCGAATGTTTCTATGCTTAATCTTTTCTGCGGTACTAGTGTATTGTATGATTTACAATCATTTCTTTTATACATTCACTTCTTTATGTATATTATATTCATAGAATATTTTATCACATTGTAGAAGGAATGAAAATACTTGAATATAGCATATTTAACATTAGAACCACCAATGGTGCCGTTTTGGCTCCCCTGATATTTAAAATTGCTGCAACTCATAAATTTTTATATTGGTTTACAGTTTTCTCTGACTTTTTATTATTTAAAACATTTTATTTACAACAAAAATTTAATTCATTCCATTTATATGTTTATTAAAATTTTATTTTTATTTTTATTTTTATCTTAAATCGTCGAAGACGCCAATATGGTACTTATTGTTAGTATACATTCTTAAATTTAAATGTATAGTAATGTTCCTCAAAATTCTTAGTGTGAGTTATATATTAGTCATATATTTATGTTCCGAGATATCTGAAATCTTTATTTTCTTTTCATAATAACGTTGTTTACCACAATAACGAAAAAGAATAATACATGCAAATATATAGCTATCTTTTAATTAAATGTAATAAAATTTTATTTCTGTGTAATTGCAGTATATCGAAAATATATAAATACAATTTCAAATAATGCAAATAATATCACAATAATTTTATTAACTTAAAACAAGGAAGCTAAAATCTTTTTTATCGAATATAGGGTTTGATTATAAAAATATAAAATTGTAATACTTGCCAAAAGTACGTAGTAAAAGTATTTCTAAGACAAAAAATAAATTGAGATATGAAAAATATGTATAATTGAAGAAATAAAAATACCAAAAAAATCGACCTAGTATCCTCATTTTTTTTCCTTATATTTTTATCTACAAATTCTTCGGCAAACTCTTAAAGCTGAATTTTTCCTAGTAGATGTATCGCAGTTATAAACTGCGTCGCAGATATACGGCTTTTCGTGGCTTAATTTCTGTTGACGCAAACGGATAATGAAATTATTCTTTATTTAATCTCAAACGGATTTGGCTTCAGTGGAATTATATATGAATTTGCAACTTCATCTGATATTTCATTATTCGTAAATTTGGCAATTTCTTCTCAAAAACTTCATCCAAGCGGTAATGGAATGAAACGAAAACATTTCATTTTGAGTATTCCTAATCCGTGTAGAATTTTCAAGGAAGAGGTGGAAATTGCGCGACACACACACACACACACACACACGCGAAGAGAAAGATTAATACGTGACGAGCTTTAGGTGGAATCCCGGTTTAATATAGACGGCATTCTATATCTCTTAGTTTTATCGCTTAGGACTCTCTGCCCTAGTGACGGATGGGATCACGTTCTCAGATAATACGAGTCCAGATTTGCCGGACATATGTACTAGGATCACTGCCAACTTGTGCGGGAGAGCGTGAATCGCTGACAAAAAAATACTAAAAGAATAGAGGGGAAATTTATGAGCGTCACGTAAATGTTGCAATTATCGATTATTAGATAAATTGAAATGCCGAGAGAAAATATGATATATATATTGTATAATGTATACTGCACACAGAATTAATACAATATGAAAACTATAAACTAGATCATATTCGAGATAAATAATTAAACAAAGTTTTAATTTTTTTAATTTATATTAACCCTTTTGATATAATAAAATTAATTAAAGTACATACACTTAAGTCACGAAGTTTATTTAATAAAATCTGATGTCGCGCCTGCAGTATAAGAGTCAAGACAATTCGCGGGTATGGCGGAATATCTCTCCACAGGCGTTGGAACGTCATAGTAAGTTGAAGATGAGTCGCAGCAGCTCGTATATAATTCTATAAAGTAGGTATTTTAGAACTTAAATTTCCATTATTGCGGATGACATCTGATATTTGCATGTTACTTTATAATTCAACTTGATGATAACATTATCCAATTTCTCTCTAATCCCCGTATTTCTGAACCTATATCAATCTATAACTGAAGCTCGATATAAAAAATCAACAACTCGAAAGCAGGGCGCGTTAATTAAAAATAAACACTCGACCATATCTAATTAATTAATTAATAGAACAGATTAATTGTTTAATTATGATAAAAATTTTTAAAATCGTGAATATGTCAAAAAATTTTTAAAAATCGTGAATATGTCAAACGGCGTTTAAATAATATTTTTTTTTGTTTTATAAAGATACATAAAAGAGACGTAATTT